GAGCGTAACCCCTGGAGTATTGAAGATGGGGGTGCAGAGAGCTAAAGTGAGATTAACCCCTGGAGAATGAAGGATGGGCGTGCAGAGAGCTAAAATAAAATTACCCCCTGGAGTATGAAGGATAGGGGTGCAGAGAGCTAAAGTGAGCGTAACCCCTGGAGTAAGGAGGATGGTGGTGCAGAGAGCTAAAGTAAGCGTAACCCCTGGAGTATTGAGGTTGAGGGTGCAGAGAGCGAAAGTAAGATTAACCCCTGGAGTATGCTAAAATAAGATTAACCCCTGGAGTATGGAGGATAGTGGTGCAGAGAGCGAAAGTGCGCGTAACCCCTGGAGGATGGAGGTGCAGAGAGCGAAAGGGAGCGTAACCCCTGGAGTATTGAAGATGGGGGTGCAGAGAGCACGCCGGTGAGCGTAACCCGTGGAGTATGGAGGATGGTGGTGCAGAGAGCGAAAGTGAGAGGAACCCCTGGAGGGTGGTGGATGGGGGTGTAGAGAGCGAAAGTGAGCCTAACCCCTGGAGTATGGAGGATAGTGGTGCAGAGAGCGAAAGTGAGCGTACCCCCTGGAGTATGGAGGATGGAGGTGCAGAGAGCGAAAGGGAGCGTAACCCCTGGAGTATTGGAGTATTGAGGATGGGGGTGCGGAGAGCGTAAGCGAGCGTAACCCCTGGAGGATGGAGGTGCAGAGAGCGAAAGTGAGCGTAACCCCTGGAGGATGGAGGTGCAGAGAGCGAAAGTGAGCGTAACCCCTGGAAAATTGAGGATGGGGGTGCAGAGAGCGTAATTGAGCGTAACCCCTTGAGAATGGAGGATGGGGGTGCAGAAAGAGAAAGTGAGAGTAACCCCTGGAGTATTGAGGATGGGGTTGCAGAGAGTGCAAGTAAGGGTAACCCCTGGAGTATTGAGAATGGGGTTGCAGAGAGCACGACAGTTCGCGTAACCCCTGAAGTATGGATGATGGGGGTGCAGAGAGCACGACAGTTCACGTTACCCCTTAAGTATGGATGATGGGGGTGCAGAGAGCACGACAGTTCGCGTAACCCCTGAAGTATGGAGGATGGGGGTGCAGAGAGCTAAAGTGAGATTAACCCCTGGAGAATGGATGATGGGGGTGCAGAGAGCACGACAGTTCACGTTACCCCTAAAGTATGGATGATGGGGGTGCAGAGAGCACGACAGTTCGCGTAACCCCTGGAGAATTGAGGATGGGGGTGCAGAGAGCTAAAGTGAGCGTAACCCCTGGAGTATTGAGGATGGGAGTGCAGAGAGCTAAAGTAAGATTAACCCCTGGAGTATGGAGGATGGGGGTGCAGAGAGCACGACAGTTCGCGTAACCCCTGGAGTATTGAGGATGGGGGTGCAGAGAGCACAACAGTGCGTGTAACCCCTGGAGTATGAAGGATGGGGTTGCAGAGAGCATGACAGTTGGCGTAACCTCTGGGATATCGAGGATGGGGGTGCAGAGAGCATGACTGGGCGTAACCCCTAAAGTATTGATGATGGGGGTGCAGAGAGCAAGACAGTGGGCGTAACCCCTGGAGTATGGATGAAGGGGGTGCAGAGAGCGCAAGTGAGAGTAACCCCTGGAGTATTGAGGATGGGGGTGCAGAGAGCACAATAGTGAGCATAACCTCTGGAGTATTGAGGATGGGGGTGCAGAGAGCACGACAGTGAGCGTAACACCTGGAGTATCGAGGATGGGGGTGTAGAGAGCATGACAGTGAGCGTAACCCCTGGAGTATCGAGGATGGGGTGCAGAGAGCACGACAGTGAGCGTAACCTCTGGAGTATTGAGGATGGGGTGCAGAGAGCACGATAGTGCGTGTAACCTCTGGAGTATCGAGAATGGGGGTGTAGAGAGCACGACAGTGAGCGTAACCCCTTGAGTATCGAGAATGGGGGTGCAGAAAGCATGACAGTGCGCGTAACCTCTGGAGTATCGAGAATGGGGGTGTAGAGAGCATGACAGTGTGCGTAACCTCTGGAGTATCGAGGATGCCAATGCCTTTTTAATTAGTTTGCTTGTTAAGTATACCGTTCTGCTCAAGTTGCTTGGTTAAGGGTCTCCGTCTAAATCGAAAAGGCGAATCTGTCTCGCCAAGGGAAGAAAGTGTATTCACTTCTACCTCGGCCAATGACAGTCAGTACCTGAAAAGATACCTCAACTTCCCCTATATTTATTGGCAACCTATCTGTTGTCTTGTATTTAATCTCCCTTCGTGTAGCACTAACCACATGTAAATGATGCCTGTCTATAGTTTAGTACTACATCATGATTATGTGGGTAAAACACCATGAACAAGTACTAGTATCTCTGATATGGTAGCATGGTTACACGGATCTGATGCCGACTTTATGATAGTAGTGCTATCTCACTGTAATATCATGCTGAAGTCACCCAGTCATCCGCCAGGTCACATTATACTGATAACTGATAAACCAGTTGTTGCCATTCCCTTACTGCTGAATGTTAAGCAGAGAAATAACAACTACCATTTTTAATGGGTTTGGTATATCCCAGCCTGGGGACAGAACCCATTGCCTACTCACCTGGGCGAACACTCAACATTAAAGCCAAAAGCGAGGTGTTACCATGCAAGGCACTAGGAAATAAAAGGTAGTCAAAAGTAGAAAGAAATATAAAGATCCCAAATATAGCAATGCTTTCATGTCCCCAAGTAGAGGGCACAAAAGCAAATCCCCACTTATGCAGGGGATTCCCACATTAGTCGCCTCTTAAGATATATACAGTGGGTTGAACAGCATGTGTATTCTTTTCTCGAATCCCGACCTGTCCTGTAGGGGAGTGAAGGTTGGGAGGTTGGGAGGGGGTAATGCTCACTTCCCCCGTAATCTTTATAATGAGTACAGCTTTAACTGTATTTAACTTTACCATTTCAATTCGTCGAAGCTGCTATTAACGTTTAGTCTTGCACTCCCTTTAACTGCCTGTGTACATATTACGCATCCACATTAATATTGTATATGTGAAACGCTTAAAAAAGGATCGTGATCCGTTTGTGAAGTACATGATTTATAAGACAACTTCTGTTTATCCATGGTGTGATGACTGTGAATAGCGCACTTGCCTTTCACCAAGGAGGCCGAGGTTCGATTCCTCGATCGGACGTGAAAAGGTTGGGGTCACCTGCCCGACCATGTGGGTTTTCTCCGAGTAATTATAATGTATGGGTTATTTTATTGAAAGGGCAAAAGTAGTGATCAAATTATTTTATAACAGTAACAGGTACTGTACATATATCGTTTGTCAATGATAGGTGTATTGATAGACGAGGCTTTAATATCTATGCCCTTCTGGGGTCTGATGTCATAGGCCGGCCATACAACATAATCTTACGTCGTCCTGGCAGTCACAGGCTCCAACACCATTGCTGCCATTCCTTACATCTTTATTTCCATGTACAGCTTACACAGGTTAATCCAAATGTTGATAATCTTTAACTCTTTCCTTTCCGACTCTCAAGGTCTCTACCCTTAATTCTCTTGGTTGGTTGGTTGATGGGTTTATAGTCTATACTTCACTGACGAAGTCTGTGTTCGGTCGACTTCGCTTTTAACACAAACATAGAACTTAAATGCATTATTGAATTATTTAGTATTTGAACACTTCAAATGACAGTCTTACATATACAGAATAATTTAAACTACTTGCTTGATTTGAATAATCAAAACAGTTCCATAAACTACACATAATGCTTAGTGTAATTATTTCTCTATTCTTGTATAAAAGAATGAAGCTACATAGAAATAGTATGTTAAATTTGTTTAAAAAAAAAATCAAATCTACACTATATCGGCTGAGGTTCAGCTGATCATTTTAATGGTCCCAGTGGGGGTATCCCACTACTGACCATTTGCCCTTCAGCCAGAGGGAGCTGATCACACAGCATGACCCCCTATACAGCTCAGCTAGTACTGATTAGCCTACACTTGTGCAGCTAAAACTAATTATTACTTATCAGATTAATTGAGATAATATGTCACACTATTTCTCTGTCAGTCATATATCTATGAATGTAGCATATGAAATATAGATTAAACCTTGTTAAAATAAAAATACTTTAAGTTGACTATACCCATTATCCAAAAAAATAAATCAAGATGCCTTAGGAGTTTTTTTTATCAAAATGAGATAATCTTCCTACCTGGATCATCAACAAATTAAGGCATGTGCCCCATGGTAATTAGTGGACTTTCAACTCCACAGTGCACGGATTTACATGAGTACCTGGACCGAAATAGCTCCTATTGTTGGTGTTCACGCGAGTTCAATGTTGATAAACTTTTGAAGTATTTTTATTGATTGCGTGACCTACGAAAGAGATAATTAATATATCTGAAAAATTCAATCATGAATTAAAATCAACACATATATATTGATCTGGATTGTTCTGTACACGTCACAAGTTGAATTTAATGTTATACATCCTGTTCACCATTAAATCTATGTTGAGTGTATGTTAGTACATGTTAAACTTGCTTTTTGAAGGTGCATATGGTCACCGGTGCAACTAGCAAAAATGCAAACGGTCGATATGTTAACCCGCCTTGAACATTAGATGTTTTCGTCTGCTAACCGAACTGTAGTGTAGGCCTAGTGGATTGGACGTTCAAACAAATTAGATAGGTACTACATAGTTCTCTTGAATAAGCATACCACACCAAGTAAAATGTTGATGATCTGAGACATGTTCAAGCTTGCCACGTATCCGTAATGACGAGGCCTAATTTTAAAGACAAAAGACTGAACTGCATATTAATTAAGTGATGTCCATGATGAACAAATCTTTGTGTATATAAGAAAAATCGACCTTGAGTTGAATGTACAATTATATGACTTTTGTCTGTTTCACGAAGCCAGCATTTAGGATTCCTGTGACATTTTCCTCAAATTTGTTTACACACACCTTATGGCCTCCAGTCCATATTGAACTCACCTGCCTTATCCGCGATGTGACGTCAGCACATATGTCACGTGAATGGACGCGGGAACGAGGCACATGTATAGCCGCCGCCATTGTTGTGGGAAAGGAAGCATTTTTTCGGGGAATTTCGTTGGAATTTACGTGTACAACAGGACTGGATATAGTGGAGTGAAAAATATTGTGAAACCTCAAACTTTTAAGACTTAAATAGACTTATTGTTTCATTGTGAGAGACATCTAGGAGGACAGAATTAGTGTGATGTCGGCTAGCATTGATCAGGTGGGGAAAGCCACGAAAGCCATGCGCCATTTCCTACGTATTCAAGATGGTCGCATGCAAATTGTTTGTCCGATTTCCTTGTATTATTTATTCTGTGTTATGTTGATTGCTGTAATCTAAATGTTATCCGTTTTGTTTATTTTCATGTACAATGCTGACTAACAGAGGACAAAAGGACAGCCAAACCAAGGTAAATAACTTGGTGAACGCGAATGACCCAGTGTAGCAAGTGCCTCGTGTACTGAATCATTGATCAACAGGTCTTGGCCCGAGCCCATTCAGCAACTTTGCACACTTAATGCACACGTGTCAAATATTTTCATGCTTATCTTTCCTGGCAACGTTTGGTCCAAGTGGAAAGTGTAAACACCCTCCCATATGTTGTGTATTGCGTTTTGGTTTCCTTCAAAATCTTGCTTGTGTATTCCAGGAAAGGGGTGTTACTATGACTCATTAGATCTTTTGGGATGAATTCAAATTGAATATTAAAGAGAGTATTTATATTAGGTCAGGATATGGTTTTTCAAAATGTTGATCTTTTTCAATTCTTCAAAATTGCATGATTCAGAAAAAATGGTTTTACTTTCGTTGTGTTTGCCAGTACAAGTGAGCAAATAAATGAACTCACTACGCATAACATGTATAATTGGAAAAAAACTACGGGACCCAAAAACCGTGATTGTACAGCATGTGGGGTTATCAAGGTTTCCTCCCATATCAGATCCAGTACACTCTGCTGGTTGAGCTATATAGCTGTGAAGACCTAGCTACTGTATATAATAGGTCTTTTCAGCTTCATGTGATTTTATTTTTTAAGGAAAACGTACAAAGTCGCTTTTAAAAGAAGATTTTATCACAAGGTTGATAACAAAAGACATTAGATATAAATGTTCTTTTTGAAAAATGATGTAAAAAAAATGGAAATTTCACAATTATGAAAAATGAAAATAAACATCTAACTGATTGTTTTACACGACTTTGCTTTAACTTAAACAAACAAAATTGAAATCTGAGAAAATATAGCTCAATACAGCTATAATTTATAGGTGAATATAGCTATATACAGGTCTTAATAGCTATATAGCTCAATCAACAGAGTGTACTGGACCTGCATATTTTAAAGACCCCCTGTGCATTTAAACTAAAGCTTCCATCTGGGCTACTCCCATAACATGAGAGGCCGCTGGTCGGCCTTTTGATTTTGCCAACTGCGACCTCTCATTTCCGAAGCACTAATTCTTTGATGCAGTTTCCGCCCGTAATCCGGGCGGAACAAAATCGGCTTGAAAAACTCACTAAGTGGTTAACAGTTCATGACAACGATGTCTATGTATGTCACAGACACAAATATATAGTATATCACGGAATAGAACACTCAAAATACATGTCCATGTCATTGTAGCACATCTCTGACCTACATTTAAAACATGGCTTCTGGATTAATACAAAATAGCAGGGGGAATTTCAAACGGAACGAATTGATAGGAGTTTGTTTGTATTCCGCTTGTGAAACATTACGTGTAATCCATTTTTGTATTAACCGGAAAAATCATGGCAAATGCTGTCTGCTTCGCTTCGAATGAGGAAAAACTCATTGTCATTGTCTTTGACACGAAATTTTTCTCATATAATCATGGATTTATGGAAAGGAATATTTATTGGACCCTTTTGACCATTTAAATTTATGTAAACAAGATATACTCTTTCTTAATCCGAACTTTGAAAATGTGATCGTCAGCATCGGGAAAATCAGCTATGGGCAGTTAGAGGTAAAGCGGCGCCTGTCAAAAGTTTTTCGCCGTGTAAAACCTCTAACATTGTTGGAGTACCATCTGGGCCAACAAGAGTGATTGGTTAAGAATAACTTTTTTAAATACTGATTTAGAATAACTTTTTTAAATACTATAAGTTGGAATAACTTATTCATATTTTCTGTAAAATTGATACAGTTTATAATTTTTTATTTAACAGCTTTTGTTAAACCTGTAATGCCAATAAGTAAGTTAATTGGTCAGTCATTTATGAAAAGAGACCAGGACATTTTAAGGATTCATTTTATATATTTATTGTAGTGGCGAATGGAGCTGTTAAAGAAACCGTGAAGGAAGAAGAGTTTGACCCATACCTCCAGCAGCCAGCTGCCCATCAGGTAATTAGTAAACAGTGAAAACTCTATTCGTTTACTGGTATCGAGTTGATCATGAGGTATCCCCAGTCCCTCTGCAGAACCGTGGAGGGGGTATTCCCCGTCTTCTGTTAAGGGGACATTCAGGAAACCAAGAATAGACCTGCTGTATCACACTGCATGATAAAAGCTGACTAATCTAAGGTCCCTTGCTGATTTTTTTGGGGGGTGGGGGCTTCAACAGAACATAAGAGACCAAAATTGATCTTCTACCCCCATTGCAATATTTCGGATTTTTTAAAACTTTTGTTTTGAAAATTGAAATTTCAGTTGGAAAACATCATAAATTTTTATTTACTTCTAACAGAGATATCTATAAACGTCTGCTTCTAGGCTCGTTGAAGGAGCAAAATGAAATTCGTCATCCTTGTCATTTTGAATGGACAAAGTCCAACAAACAGGACCTTCGTTCCGATGTCTGCAAGATATTCTTGTCTGCGTTCTTTCCTATCTACTTCCTCTTTTCAGCAGTCTCCCTAAGCACCTGTCCTCATAAATATAATGCCATTGTAAATAAAATGAAAATCAAATACCAAAAATTATGAGACTAATATTCTCGAGGTGCGAATACAGTATTGTGGCTAATGCTGTGCATAAAGTTGCATAAACCATGACAATAGATTCAGGATCTACTGACTGTAACGTCAATGGGTGGATTGTTGGAGGATGTAGATATGTCCTTGTGCAAGATGCTTATCCTTGTAACAAACTCCACATTCTTAATTTGTATAATATTGGGGATGTTAACAATAATTACTATATTGCTGTACCTTTTATTAAAATTTTGTTGACTGTAAAATGTCTCTGTTGTCCAATATATTAGATCCTACTCGGATTCCAAATAGAATAAAGAAATAATGAGGTTGATGACTCGTATGGATATCTGATGATTTTAATGAAATATTCCTTCATGATCTTCAAATTTATATTCATAAATGGTTCTGTTTTGCAGGCTGGATACAGTGCCGGACCAATGTCGAGCCCTGGAGTTTCCGATACTTTCATGCCAAGTTATTATAATCCTTCTATGTCTTTCCCTTATTTGGGACAAGGACTAAGTGAGGGCGGAGCATGGTCTAATGGAGGTGATGCCACAATGTTCTCAATTGGAAGTTACGATTACAATGGAATGTTCAGTAGTGCAGGATTTGGTTACCCTCAATTCGGATGGACTGATTATTCGGGAAGTGACTATTGGGGTAACGCTGCAGGACAGGCTAGGAAGGACGCTAGGGGCTACCCTGATGATTACTACCGGACTGAAAACATGATTCCTGCAGATCCCTACACAATGAACGGTGGTGAGTTTGAACGTGATCCTAACATGGCGGGAGTGGAACAGGGACTCAAAGGCATGAATATCAGTGATAAACAAGTGGATGCTCACGGTGTGACTGTTAATGACCAAGGTCATATACAAGGGGACATGAGTGGAGTACCAGTTTCTGCAGGACCCGTTCAGCATGTGCCTGTGACGTCTCAAGCTCCCAAAAAGGCATCATGGGCTGCCATCGCCAGTCAGCCTGCTCGTCCCCAGCCCCAACTGAAACATCGGACTATTCCCAGGGCCCCTATGAATCCCAACAACAAGCAAAACATGGACATTGGGACATGGGACACTCGCAACAATGGAGGAAACAAGCAAGGCAATGGACAGGGACGAACATGGAACGTGCCACGAAGGTCTGGCATGAACTCGTATAATTCTAGTTCCAATTCAGGCCACTCTAATCAATCGTCAAGCGCTGGAAGTTCTGGACTAGCTACAATTCCGAACCCTCAACAAGGGGCTACTGCTCACCCTGTGTTGGAAAAATTGCGTTCTGCCAACCAATACAACCCTAAGGAGTTCAATATGAACCCTCGTGGAGCCAGGTTCTTTGTCATCAAGAGCTACTCTGAGGACGATATTCACCGCTCTATCAAGTATAGCATTTGGTGTAGTACGGAGCATGGAAATAAGAGACTGGATAGTGCATACAAGGAACGTGAGAGCAAGGGACCCATCTACCTTTTTTATAGTGTCAATGGCAGTGGACACTTCTGTGGCATGGCCCAGATGATGTCGACACTGGACTACAATCGCAGTCCGGGGGTTTGGGCCCAGGACAAGTGGAAAGGTCAGTTAGATGTCAAATGGATATATGTGAAGGACGTTCCCAACAGCCAACTTAGGCACATTCGTCTAGAGAACAATGAAAACAAGCCTGTCACGAACTCTCGTGATACACAGGAAGTGCCCCCAGAGAAAGGGAAGCAGGTGCTGAAGCTCCTTCACTCCTACCGTCACACAACTTCCATCTTTGATGACTTTGGTCACTACGAGAAACGCCAAGAGGAAGAGGTGAATTGAGATTCCTGTCTTTCAGTTCAAATAAATGTATTGGTATAATGAGGAACACAGGAGAAAATGGAGGTTCAATGTTGGTTGAAAATCATAAATGATAACACCCAGATATTAGTTGTACGATATGAAGTAAAATCAGAGCATACAAGTGCTGTTTAATAAGTGGGTCAATGAATGTAGATAAGAATGCAGGATAACTTCCCCATACATGAGGGGTTCTCTGCAATTTATGTTTGTGTCAATTAACACATGAATTTATTTATTTTTGTTCTCCGATTTACATAATAACCTATGTACAGTTCACATTAATAGCTATATATATAGATAGCTATTGCACATACCCTGATACTGGTTACGGTTTTATGAACATTCCTGATAAACTTCTTGAGAAAAATATTGCTGAATTTTACGATAACTTCTGATCTTAAATTTTAATGCTTTCTCAAGGAAAAAGATGAATAAAGGATTTTCCTTAGTTAAGGAGCATTCGTGAAACTGGTCACCAATCTATATAGACAACAGATACTATTCAGTGAGGTTTCTTGGGGCCAATTAGAGCTGTCCCTGATATAACTGTCCCTTTCAAAGAGGTCCTGTCTCCTATTTACTATCTCTTCCTGGCACTGTCTCCCGCTGTCTCCTTAAACACCTGCTTTCAAATGACCCATGGTTCTCCCCAGGCCATTTAGCTGATAGGGCTCCGTATCAGCTTCAGTTTGAAATCCTCCCTTCCGTATTTACTATCAGCTTAATTGACCTGTATCACCTTAGACTATGAACCGTATCACCTTGTTATTTGTACTGAATGGGGTCTTTTTAAACAAGAAATTGACATTGATTAAATCACAAGGCTGACCCAAGTCCAGCAATAACCCCGGCCCACTGGTCAGTTGCAAGATAGGTGTAATATGACCACAGGGGGCCTGTAATTAGTGGGAAGGGGGACCAGACAACAAGCCCACAGGTGTCCAGTGTGCTCACTGGAGCCTAAGCAATATCACCAGATCCTTTAAACGTGGTCAATAGGTGCTTAATTGAAGTAACTACTGTAGGATAAACAAAACAAATACTTAATACAGCTATTATAAATTAATTTACTCATATATGATTGCATTTGGTTAAGCTGAAATAGCATGTGATGGTCGCCATCTTGGAATGTGTAGAGTACAGACCGGAAAGCGGAATGAAAATCCGGATTTGTTGTTATGGAAGAAGGGCCCAAATAAAAAAGGTTGTTTTTAATCTCTGATCAAATTCACTGACAGCAGTATTTAAAACAGTTTTAGAGGAAATAAATACACTGTACATTTCATTTAAACATTTTCTCTTACCATAATAGGAACTGTGATATATATTTTTTCTTTTTTCATTTAAGTGTTTCCCCCCTATGTAACATAAACAGCTTTGAAATATTTCTTTGAAGTATATTAAATGGAGATAAAACTAAGGGATACAAATATAAAGATAAGAAACAAATCTCTTATCTATTATTCAATGTACAAAACTTATACACCATTCTATAAATTGCATTTTTATTAGAATAGTCATACAAAAAGAACTATTAATTCTTTGGCTTTAAAGTTCATCAAAAGTTGGTAAATAAAAGTACCTATCTAAACATATAATATTAACACCCCCACCCCCCAAATTAAATAAGATATTATTGAGCATGTCCGTCTTGAACCTACGTTAAAATGAAACATCAGCTTAAAAAAATCTGGGGAGAACCCTGTGACCCTGGCTGTTGCAAAGATGTCAAACCCAAGCAAAGAATCCTCCCATAGAGAAAATTTTCTTTGTTTTCCCAAACAGATCAAGTTTCTGTAATTGAACAAATGAAGAAGAAAAAACTTTGTAAGCTACAAATGTATTCTGTAACTTGAGAGAAGGCTGAAAGGCATTTTTTACCAGCTAATTTTTAGACATTTTAGAAAAAGTGATTTTAACATTCCAAAATAAAGAGTGAACCAGTGATTGTGACCTACAGCAGGACAATTCTTCCTTTGATGAAGGGGCTGGTTTATTTTTTTTCATTTTGGGAAGAAAATGTACCAATTAGGAAGGAAATTTTGAGGAGTAAAGTTCAAATATAGAGAATTTGGCATAAATATGAAAGTTTCATTTTAAAGAATAATATTCCCAGATAAAGCCATATGTGCACAGCGTGTATCTATGCATATATTGTTAAGTGCTTGAGTGATAAAGTTGTGTTTGGTAGTATTTGGTACAGACTCAACTGAACACTGCCATCCATTTGGTTCAGTCTGTTCCCAAAAACCCTTTTTGACTCCAAAACAGTTGGTTGTACTCCCAGTTTTCAAGAGTTGCCTTGTAAGAAAATATGAATGTAGGGGTACAAATCTTTAAAATGTATCAAATATACCATCAAATCTAAAATTCAGTAGGAACACTGGTTCTACTCAATATTTCTCGAGCAAACGGTCAACAATGGTAGCTACATCAGTTGTATTTTAATAACATCTTTAATTTCATGATCATTGTTTCATGACAAACGCTTGAAACCCTTGGTCAGAGATGTTAGTATACTGCTAGTCTAATACTTTGAAGTTAGTCTGCACTTAAACATGAAGAAGAGACCAAGAAAAACAGAAGGTAAAAAAAATATTTTAAAACTTAGATCTGCAGGATGTACAATTTAATAGGTATACTTTAGTAAATTAGTAAGACACGTTATGGTATACTGCTGTGGGCAGATTTTGAGAAAACTACTTATCTTATATTGTTAATGTTCAAAAAGTTAACAAATATTAGCCCTAACGCTCGCATGTTACACCGCCACATCCACCTGATGGTTATTGTATAGCTGTGCTCTGAATGAATAAGTGTAATAAAAAAAAAGACTTTGTAAAATTGAGCAGTAAATAATTAGAAGAAATTAAAATATGACCTATTTATGAAAACCCACCGTCACCTTTGTTTCAGGTACAACATTTTGTTCTATATATTATTGACTGTGACTACTTTCAAGTCCGAGAGGTCAAGTGTATACAAATATAAACTAAAAATCTGAACAACAACATTCGCCAAAGTTATGAATTTGAACTAGCTTTCAGTGCCATCAGTCTTTTGGACAACAATGATTTTATTTTTTTAAAGCATCAAGTTTTCTTTTGTTCAAATGAATTTCAAGTTTACCAATTTTCAAGGTCACAATTTACTGTCATATTACGTTATGTTTTAAAATTTTACACTACTAATATAGAATTATGACTATGATGCCCTAGACAATGATTTTTGTCATGTAGTATAGCTAGCTCTTGATCATGATGAAGGCAGGGGAAATCCTGGAATTTGAGAGCAGTGGGCCATTTTCAGCCAGTTTTAGTCAAGACCAAAATCAAGAGGGGCCATTCTATGTAAAATTTCAACAAAAAAAAATGGAACATTGAGCAGAGTGGTCAATTTCAGTTTTGAGGGGTGATCAATGGCTCGGCCCCATGATTATCCCTGTGAAGGGCCTTCAAAAAAATTTGCTAGTGTACATATATATGGTATATATCATGTATAGATCTAAGGGTGTTGATAGTTGTAGGTCTACGTTTATCAAACCAACAGTATTATATATATGGCCATTTTAAAGCTTCCCGAGCTGGAGGTGGAGAGCTACAGTAGTGTGCAAATGTTCTATGAACCTCAAACTATGACATGAGATTGAATTTTTTTCTAATGTTTGGTTTAGATCTTCTACATCACTACTGTATATTGCACTATCAGGCTGAGAGAGACACTTGTTTTGTTAGTTATTGTAGCAATATTGAAAATCTATTGTACACTATAGCTAGATTGCACAGATGCTAGATTGTCAAGTGTGTTCATTTGAATGACCTGGGGGGGGGGGGGGTTGATCAACAAGCAAACATAAAAAAAAATCCAGAACAAAACAAGGTTGGAATATAAGCCAATATGGACTTTAATTTCTGTTTTAGCCCAGCATCATCAGATATAAGCCTACTTAATCCTTCCTTAAACTCATTCACCCCTGGAGACATATCATGAGATTTTTGAATGTCTTGCCTGCATTGGCTCGAAGCCATCTTTAGCGGTCTTAGAATATTAGTAAAAAAAAATACCTCGGTGTACCATAATGGTTAAACTATATCCTATTCTTCAAAAGGTGACCTTTTAGCCTTATCTACATATATATGTTGGTTTTCTGTCACCTACTTGTACATACTGAATCAGGTCTTTATATATATATATACACCCATCGCTGTTGTATGTACTGAAGCAGACTGGCATAGTGACCTTCACCTTAAATAATGTAGGCGACTAGTGAAGACCATCCTCCATATCCAGGGGTTACACTCACTTTCGCTCTCTGCACCCCTGGACTATGTCATAGCAAAATTGAAGGCTCGGTGTAGTGCGCCATGTTGTTGATGAGACAAGAAGACTAGTTTGATCCTTTGATGTACATCAAAAGAATATCAGGTCAGGTAACCATAAAAATTGACAGGCTTGTGTCCTCCTTTGTACTCTTCAAAGGACAGGTATCAGCCTAGTGGTTGGTCATGGTATTTTACCGGAGACCAATCAAACAGCTGTCTTCTTGCCTTCAATTTTTCTATGACATATTCCACAGTAGAGAGTGAAAGTGGGCGTAACTCCTGAATATTGAGGATGAGTGAAGACATATGATATATGAACGACATTCTCAGACTGAAGTGGCATGCTTGTCTGGCAAATAAATGCAAAATAATACAAGATACACCAAGAAAACAGTGCATAAGGGACCAATTCACTAAGACAGTACACAAGGGGCCAATTCACTTAGACAGGACACAAGGGGCCAATTCACTAAGACAGGACACAAGGGGCCAATTCACTAAGACAGGACACAAGGGGCCAATTCACTAAGACAGAACACAAGGGGCCAATTCACGAAGACAGTATACAAGGGGCCAATTCACTAAGACAGGACACAAGGGGCCAATTCACTAAGACAGAACACAAGGGACCAATTCACAAAGACAGTACACAAGGGGCCAATTCACTAAGACAGTACACAAGGGGCCAATTCACTCAGACAGAACACAAGGGACCAATTCACTAAGACAGTACACAAGGGACCAATTCACTTAGACAGAACACAAGGGGCCAATTCACTAAGACAGTATACAAGGGGCCAATTCACTAAGACAGTACACTAGCTATAGGGGCCAATTCACTAAGACAGTACACAAGGGACCAATTCACTAAGACAGTACACAAGGGGCCAATTCACTAAGACAGTACACTAGCTATAGGGGCCAATTCACTTAGACAGTGCACAAGGAGCCAATTCACTAAGACAGTACACAAGGGGCCAATTCACTAAGACAGTACACAAGGGGCCAATTCATTAAGACAGTACACAAGGGACCAATTCACTTAGACAGTGCACAAGGGACCAATTCACTTAGACAGTGCACAAGGGGCCAATTCATTAAGACAGTACACAAGGGGCCAATTCACTTAGACAGTACACAAGGGACCAATTCCCTAGACAGTACACAAGGGGTCAATTCACTAAGACATGCATAAGGGGTCAATACATCAAAGACCGACGTGTACATATTAAAGGGGCCAATTCACTAAGACAAGACACAAGGGGCCAATTCACTAAGACAGTACACAAGGGACCAATTCACTAAGACAACACATAAGGGGCCATTAGATCAAAGATATACAGTAGTGCATAAGGCTCTGGGGCACAACATCAATTTCAATACCTCTTACCAAACACCCCACCATTGGCCATTGCATACACATGACTCTGTATCGGGCCACAAAATCTTAATTTCAATATACCACTGTACCAGACTTGGCGGCCATCCCAAGAGTTATTCAATACAACATCATGCAGTTGGCTTGCAGATGACAATAATATATAATATGCCCCAGCAAACAACTAGACTGTATGTCTTTTAGTTTGGCTTCCTCCAGTATTGGGGGGGGGGGGAGTGTTACAATTATTTTATCTGTAGTACTATATATTGGAGTGAGTTAATCCTCCCTACTGCCGCGTTTCAGTGATCCTTTCGAAGGACTACATACATACATAGCTAGAGGAGTTAGTAATACAGTAATTATTAACACACAGTATTCTGTGAATGTTGTGAGAAATATAGGAACCCATCCTACTTTAAATTATGTCTTAGGCCATTGGTTTAGGGAACCAATACATAAAAGGCTCCCGGCCTCCAGTAAGAACGCAGTTTTCTGTGAATGTTGTGAGAAATATAGGAACCCATCCTACATTAAATTATATGTCTTAGGCCATTGGTTTAGGGAACCAATACATAAAAGGCTCCCGGCCTCCAGTAAGAACACAGTTTTCTGTGAATGTTGTGAGAAATATAGGAACCCATCCTACATTAAAGTATATGTCTTAGGCCATTGGTTGTGTATTTACATGAGCCAATACTGCATGTGGGTAAAGACGAGGGTCAAAAAAGTATTACAGTATTTGTAGGATAGGCCAAGGGTCAAATTGTTAGGTCGATAAAGTGATAGTACGTGTGAAATCATAGTCAATGATATGTGGACTAGGCCTGGGTGTTTTTCATAGAATAGGTGAGGCCAAACAAAAAATATTTGCTACTACCCTAAACTTTTTTATGTTGTTTTCAAAGAAGCACTGTTTAAGTCGATATCACTCTACTATATAAACCATATAAAATTTGTTACCTACCTACAATGAATCTACCCTATGATTTTCGAACATGTTACAGGAAACACGTACCTGTAGATGTTTTTGTCTGGCCTAAGGTAGATGTCAATTCAATGACTGTCCTCTGTAAAATCTGATTTGCCTCCCCACTAGCTACTCCCAAGAAATTCAACCAGAATTGGAATAACTAATTAGTGTTGATAATGATGCGATTCATATTCGACTTAAATGTTGTTTTTCATGATTTGACATTCCATTTTACCATTTTGTGCTTTTAGGATCCGGCTGATGCGGAACAGGCGCCAACACAGCAACAACAACAACAGCAGCAGCAGCAGCAGCAGCAACAACAGCAGCAACAGCAACGCCCTGCACAGCAGCGACAGTAGAAGTGTCGCGGGACGACCCGCTTCTACAGGGTCAAAAGGTCACTGACCTCGCCTGCGACTGCCCCCACGGAACTTGAAGTTATATATAAAATATCAAGTGTGGAGAGGAAATTTTCAGTTTATTTAACACATGGATCTTTACTAGTGTAGTGATATGGTGTCATGATCCAGATGTAACGCACTGTGGGGAAAAAATCGTACAAAAATTCTTTCATTTTAAATTTTTTATTATAAACTGATATTCTGTTATATTAAGATTGTATTGTTTTACATCTTCGTTTAAATTCTCATATCTAGGAAATCAAATCTACAACAGGTTGCCATGAAAAAGAAGCAAAGCGTCGTGAAAACATCCTACACATATATACGTGGAATCATAGTGAATTTGTGCTGAAGTATTCAAATTATGCAGTACTAGTCGGTCGTTCTGATTTTCTTTGATTTTAACTGAAGAATCATCCTTTTTGATTTTTTAAAATTATTGTACTAGTCTTACTGATGTTCGGTATAAGGATGTAATGGACCTGCAGTGAATGGATATGTTTTCCTATAAGTTCATAAGTTGCTACACACACGAACTCTTGAATTATGGACCACAAGAATATGCACCTACGAGTGATATATTTGACCCAAGGTGGGAAGACTGTTCTTCGTACTTGATAGGTACTGAAGACGTAGCCAAGTGCATTAAACTTCATTTTCCCTGAAAGGTTTGAAGAAAGGTGTGTTTGGTAAAAAAATTAGACTTCCATTTGACAAATCTTTGTGCTAAAATGCCTGTTCGACCATGCCTCTTTGTGGATAGACAAGTTTTTTAAATAAAGGTGTGTCTTTGTTTTCTCGGACAATTTACAAGTTATAAAAGACAGAAGAGAGAAACAAATTCAAGGAAGATTATTTAAAATACGGCAAGTATTTTACAAGAGACATCGCGATACAGTGCATTTTTTCCCCAATAAAAAAACACTTGCAAGACAAATCATAAAATTGTGGGGAACAGAAAAAAAAATCCAATGGAGGTTATGGATCCTTGTGTTCAAAGGGAGACAGTTCTCTGGGCATATTCCGTTTAAAACCGAAGAAAAAACTTTTAAAGACTTGGAGTGCCATTTCCAAGAGGAAAAAGGATGCATTTATAATCAATATCTCAACATTAAGTTTTCTTATGAATTATTCCAACTGTTGTGTGGTTGTTATAAGGACGCATGGCTGTATTCCTGAAATGAAATCGTCCGATTGCCTATTAAAACTGCTAAATACTGTGCAAATGTAAGGGATTTGTTTGTCTTTCTCTTATATGTTAACATGTTTTGTCAAAAGTACAACGGAATGATCAGGCATGTGTAATTATTTAGTCTAACAAATGCTGTACATGTATACTTAACCCTTTCACCACTGTAAACCATAATTGACTCATCCAGATGAATGTATGGTAGAGTCTACTAAAGTTACCTAGGGGTGAAAGGGTTAATTACCAATCTTATAGCTTTCGAGTCGGGGGGGATTGTAAAGCAATAAATTTAATGGGATTTTAATTAACTATACACAGAAAATCAAACTTTAAAATTGGAATTTTGAGAGAGAGAATCAATATGATTGAAGATGCACCAATCAGTAAACATTCAGATACCCACAGCTGATTTCACTTCGCAACTCGCTCATGATAGCGAGAAGCGAGTGAAATCAGCATTGGGTATTAGATGACAAAGAACTTTTAAGTGATAATTCATTTTCTTCAGTTTTCTACTCTAACTGATAATAGAATGGTAATGTGAGGCTCTATTCCAGCACTGGCTCTACACTGGTACATTGGATTTCACTTACATTTGTCCGTAATAATTTGTATCATCCGAGGAAAAATGATCAACACATGTATTATAATGATGCAATCAGAATTTATTGAAATATATTGATACAAACAAGACGATAATACAAGCATTTAACTAGCACTTTTTTTTTTTCAAAAGCATAACAAAAATCTGTTATATTAAAATCTTCTTTAATTTTATGATTACATGCACATCAGCATTCACAATTTTTGTTCACATTCGTTGTATGTTAACCGTTAACATTTAGAAAAAAAGAAAAAAACAGCCTAGATTCACAAAACCTAGAGGCATGAAAGGTAGGGGCTGTGAAAACCTACACATGTACTTTGTAGCTTTTACAAATATGCCAGGATCCAAATCCAAATGATTTTAAAATTTAATTCCAAACAAAAATATATAATGTGATTACTGATGTACACTATAATAGGCAGTATAAATTTTATATGATAACATTTTAATGAGCTTTGTTAATGCCATATTTTAACAAGAGGCCCAAGGGCCTTAGCGGTCACCTGAGTTATATCATAGGTACTGGTAGCTTTATTTTATTGTTTAGATTTGATGTGGAAATCAGCATGTAAACTAAGTGAATACAATACTTGTCATGTCATCAATGGATAAGAATTTGAAAATATNTAATTCTTGTATGGAGGAGTTGTTTAGACAAAGAGACAACCTTATTTCTGACTGAACTAGAAAATGAGGTCCAGTCTTAAAGTCAAACAGACGGAATATTTCATCATTGACTAATATTCCAGGACAACCCATATCATATGCATGGTCACATATAGATTTGACAGCTGAGAAGGTCAGAAAAACATGTTTTCTCGTTATGTCGCGTTCTGCTAACACATGTACATGATATTAGTGATATTAAGTGAAATCTACTGTACAAGAATATAGGTGGTTCAGCATTTGCTTTTCCGAACACTATTTGTACTCTGACTAATTAGAAAGTGTTCTAATTTACAAGAAGTTGAATTTAATCATATATACCAATTGTATTAGCTAATAGGTCACTGGTACATTTAGCACCTGTATTTAAGCAAGATATATTGTATTATACAAAACTTCAGCTTGTGAATTGAGCTAACCTCGCTATTCTGTCACAGAAACAAATGTTGAAGAAATTAAGGACAGAGTGACCTTGAAATATTTCAATTGGTATAAATTGTTGGCATTGTATTGAGAGTAGCAGTATATGTGCATTTGGTTGAGCCTTGATGGAAGTTAAGGTATGAAAATTAGGGTTAACTAAACAATTCCCTAGAGTAGTTCTAACACAGAACATAGCATGTCTGATGATGTACCTCAATCAGAAAACATGATCATTTATGAAAATGAAATATTCAAAAAAACAATGAGACATTGGGGGGAAAATACAAATACATTGAATATGGTATTTATATGCATTATACATAGTGATTGTGGGATTGTAAATTAAGACACTTTTATATTTTCATAACTTAAGTGATAAAAATTGAAGAGATAAGTTTAATTAAAAAGAGAAAAATGTCTACAAAATAGTTTTCCCAACAAAATTCTCGATTCTACAGTACACTGTCAGGGTGACTAATTTTTAAGGCAAAGTATTAACATGTTAAATTAATACATCAAGGACATGTATGAATCGTAAGTTTGAATGAATTCTCATACACGAAACCTTCCAACTGTACACCCAATTGACAAGGGTACATACGATTGTATACCGGCCTGGAAAATATTTCTGATAAGATTTGTGTGGTATGAATGAGAGAAAAATTACTTCCCCAACCATAGCAAAGATCTTGTGTTGAATATTTAAGTAATTTTTATCAATTCATACATCATGAATGTGGGAAAATTACTTACATCACTGCATGTTACTTACTTCCGAATTACTTCAATTAAAGTAAAACGCCGAAAAACTTCAATGTTTTGGGAAATGTATATATATTTTTTTCGTTTTCACGCATTATTTAACCAAGGTAAGCACACAGCATCAATTAACTTAAGGAAGCCTGTACCACCGCCAAAAGCTGTAATTGTGCATTGGAAAAAAAAAATCCTGCAAGACTAGATCTTTCATTAAACATGAAACGAAAAACCATACATTGAGTGACTATTCAAAAAACAAAACTGATGCAACAAGTGTTCCAAGTGTTGAAATATTGAGGGGTCGGACCAGGATTCAAATTCTGAACTAGCCAACTGAGCAGCTACCAGGTAAACGGCAGAACCCTGGTCTAGGCATGCTGCAGACTCAAAATGGAATTAAGCGAAGCTAGTTACTCTATACATGTTCAAAAAATCAAAATGGAATTCTGGAGTATTTTAATTGTCCTCAGTAAGACAGATCCTTAAATATCTAGCATACACAATTTTTTCAGCAGTCCAAAAAATATTCAAGAACCAGGTGAGACAAAACCTCACTCAACTGAAATTTCAGGGGTGAGGTAATTGACCAAAATGGTATCAACATTTCCTTAGGCTGTTCCAGAACTAATTCCAGAACTAATCGTAGAGAAGGAGTTGGAGACACTTTTTCAGAGACCCAACCACCCGTAATATCGTAACACAAGTGCCTCATAACCCCTTATACAATAAATCATGGAATAGTCGTTATTTAACACCTACGATGCTGTCATTTTCAACACTTGATATCATAATTGAGGGCATTATGCATATTGTGCTGCCTTATTTCATTGTGGGACAATGGGCTAACTGATATTCTGTGAAAAAGAACATTTCTTAACACATTCAACCCTGAAATTTCAGTGAACTATTCCAACCTTTGAATTGGAAGAGTTAAAATGTGTCTCAAGGGGTGAATGAGTTATTTTACTTGAGACATTATGTGTGATTGTGAAGACTAGCATCAGACAGAAACATCAATATATATATATTGCATCGAAAATTTAAGTTCGTAGACGATAGAAATATTTCATGTGGAATGAATATTTCATTATCGAGAAAAAGATTGCATAAAAAAGATGTGATATTATAAGGCACTATTAAATTCGTTATCAGAACAGATTGCATATACAACAATTTGATATTTTATGGTGTTCTTTAACTAACTTTGTACATTAACTAACAGGTAAAAAAAAAAAAAATCACTGGACTAAATCTACTTTTTGTAATGATCAACAATTCACTGAATTTATTTTACATAATAAATTAATTAAAACATTACACTACATTGCACTTAATTTAATTGTACCTATACATGTCATGGTCATCAAAATACTCCACTAAACTTCTACATCAACTAAATGTATTGATCAACAATTTATAATACAATCAAAGACGAGATGACCAGACAACACCAAATGGGGTGTCTCCGCAAATTTAATCCAGTTTACTGAATGGTTCTGATGACGGCCACTAGGTGGGCCGAAACGTGTAAACTGGATGAATGAGCCTTTGCCAAGGCTCCCCATTTGGGATTGTCTGCTCTTCTGTTCTTTTGAATTTCTATTACTTTCATGGCCGGACTAGTGAATTCCATTTAGTTTAGTTTAAACATATTTTTATTGTCGTAAATAAGGACAATTAGGATTGAGCACAAGTTTTGCCAACTTAGTAACGCCCTCTCCTTAATACATCATGTTGTATAATACATAATGGACAGCAGTGAATTAACTTTATCCTATAGTAGAAACAGTGAGAGAAGGAAAGCAAGAAGAAGAAGGGTAAAAGATAGGTAGGATCATCCCCTAAATATATATATAATATACAAACCCATGTAAATGTTTAAAACAATATTTGGTTAACAGTAATCTGACTGGCTGGAAAAACATCAATCAACACTTTCATAAACTGTGTCCATCACATTCCATAAAGCTGTATTCTGTAGATCCACTCGTAACCGTTCCGTGTTCTCAAAGCCCTTCCTCCATACCAGCCAGATCAGATACACAATTATTCAAAATTATGTAAACATATTAACATTGATATTCATACTATATTATATTATATTTATTTCACAAAGTATAAAGGATATTAGAAACGAATAAAATAAGAGGGGGGGTGGGGGAGTGCTCAAAATGTCAAAACCTGCCAGTACCGTCGATATAGACTTGCACCATTCTTGCAATGTTTGAGTTTGCCTCATTATTTAAATCTATATCACCCTTTAGAATTAGGTCTAATGACATATCTCCTGGATACCATGCTAAATTCTGCAATAAGGAAAGGCGTCGGATGTGGTATTTAGGGCATGTGAAGAAGAAGTGATACGAGTCCTCGCACGTGTGTCCACATTCACATTGTGCTGAAAAATTAAGATTAGCCCTAAAAAGATCATAATTGAGAGTACTTGCCCTGTTTCTTAATCTACAATGAAGAATATTTAGCCTACGCGGACCAAAATTGAGAAAGCATGGATTACATTTAGTTATTACATTATTCAACTTATGTATATTTGATTTGAACGAGTTCAGAGTTTGGGAGTTACTTATGGTTGTGTCTAAATTATTCCAAAGATCAACAGTTGAAGGAAAGAAAGAGTTGCGCATAGTTTGGAGTCTATACCGTTGCTGCCGCAATTGCTGAGAATTTCTTAAATTATAATGAGTCAGATCTCCAATATTTTGAGGTAGGATATTACATAAGTATGAGGGTGCAGTGCCATGTTTTATAGTATAAAGGAGGGACAGTTTTCTGATTTCTCTTCGTTTTGACAATGGTAGCCACCCAATTTCTGCATATAACAATTCGTTTTTTGTGTACATTGGTAATCCTGTGACAATACGGGCCGCATCTAGTTGTAGTTTTTCAAGATTATTTGAATTGATAGCACCACAGTTATCCCATACCTCACAGCCATACTCTAATATTGGTCTAATATATGTTAAATACAATTTCTCTAAGTTATCCCTATTAAGTATAAATTTCAATTTGCGAAGTGTTGCTGTGTATTTTGATACTTTCTTGATAATTTCATCTATATGTTTGGACCACTTGGCATCACTACTTAGTAATACACCTAGGTGCTTATGTTGATCGGTTATTTCAATAGGGATGTTATTGAACGTAAACAGAGGTTGATAGGGTAGATTTGAAAAGGATACTAACATAATTTCCGTCTTCTTAGGATTGAACGACATTAGCCAATCTTTTGACCATTTTTCTAGAGTTTGTAAGTCGTTGTTTACCACATGTACAATATCATCTAGAGTTTGTGAATTTAGGAATCCATCATCCGGAGTACGCATAACTTCACTGAACATCCACTAGGGGACGGTGGATCTCATTACCCTTTAATTTGATACACTGTACTAAATTTACAATGTATATTGTAAATACACTAAAATGGTATGATCAGCAATACACTGCACTTCAATAAATATGTAATTGTAAATTAAATAGAATGTAAGGATCAACAATACATTGTACTTAATTTAGAAACACTATTCTAAATATACATTGTTCACTGTATAAAATGTCATGTCAATGACAATAAACTGTGGGGAAAAAATGAAAATTTCAAATTATATATATGAGTGCACTAATAAAATTACATTACAGTAGATTTCTCTTAATATCACTTCCCATTTGTCCGAGGAAAACATGATATTAACAGAAACATGACATAAACAGAATACATATTTTCTGATGTTTTTCAGCCCTCAAAACTGGAAGTGAACTTAGTCAAATGCCTAAGTGATGTGGCTCTACGAAGAAGATTGATATTTTGTAACAAACCCTGTTCTTTACCCTAGTTGAAATATAGATATAAGTAAATAAGTATAGAAATAAATATATTATTTGTATTTCATTTCAGTATGCAGTTACATTTCATATAGTTATTAGCAAAATGACGATCAGTACGATTGTAATTATGATTGTTTACTGCAGTAGTGATGTAGGCATACAAGTGTTTGGATGGTATTCTGCATCAAATCCAATTGTAAACATGAGAATTGGTAAATATTTACCTATATCTTGATATATATAATGTTCTTTCGCTAGTAACATCTTTTTATAGGTTAATTTTCTTAGATATTTGCTGCAAGTGTGTAATCGAAGATAGTACACATGTTATAATTAGTTGAAAGAATACATCACACTTGGCATTAGAAAAGTTTACAGATGTTAGACTGTCCTAGCTCCCCCAACCACAGGTGAATATCATGTTAACAAGTATGTAAGTCAACCTATTGTTTAACAGTCAGCCAGGTGTAACCTATTGTTTGACAGCCAGCCAGGTGTAAAAAATACCCTGTTAGGCCAAGGCATTGTTTACATAATGCGTCCAGGGTGTGGCAGAAGGTCCCCAGGGCATTTATCATGAATCAATACCACCATTTACCTGTATTTTTTGGTGAAATTGGCCAAAATAAAGTGATATTAAGAGAAATCGACATAAAATCAGGTGATAATAAAAGAATTGAATTGCATAGATTATATAGCAGGAAAAACGGTGCATCAAAAAAACATGATAATAACTGAAAAGTGACATTAACATACGTGATATTAAGTGAAATGTACTGTATCATATAAACTAAAATACAATGCTCTTTAAATTTCTTTAATTACAAATTTAATTGAATGCAATGCTGACCTTGAAATGTATTCATATTTTACTTAAAGAGAACATGTTTACTTCTTTTATAGTATGTCATATGTAAAACAAATGTATTGAGAAACGTGATGAGATCATAATACTGCAACTTGCAAGTATCATATAATGTCACGGATCTTTATACCGTATATTGTATCCCTATATCAATGCTGAATTGTACAAAGAATAGCCTGTTTCGACAATAATCTATATCGTTTACCTATATCAGTGTTGTATTGTAAAAAAGATTAGCATTTTATTTTGACAAAGACTAGAAAATGAAGTGTGTGGGTAAATTTTGGATGCATATATACTTTTAATACATTTATTTTTTTTACATTTTACTTTGTGGGAGAATTTATTGACAAATTCTAGTTGAATACATTGGTAAATATATGGTTTATCTATAATGCTGACATGACATTGTCATATTATACTCTGAATTATACAATCTAACGTACACGTCATACATCGCGATAGTGGAAGGGAGGTAACTCTAGATGTAAGTTGGCAACGTAATGGAGGTCGTCAAGGGATGAATGATTCCTTTTAATTTCAAATATAATAATTGTGATTGTTAGTTAAACCCTTGTGCACTTTTAAATGATTCAAGTGGTGAATTAGTTTTTGCCAAAAACAACATCTAAGCACTTGATCGGTCTCTTGTAACTTGTTAGGCCATAATTTAGAGAAGATAAATGAACATTCACAAAAATGTTTTTCAAGAAATGAAAGTCAGAATTCAAACTTATTTTACCCTGTGATTTATGGCTTTGATTAGAGTATTGATTTTTAGGTCATGGAATAAAAAGACAATTTAAACATTCATTTAAACAAAAAACCTTAATAACAAAAGAATTCTCCTGCAAATACAATAATTTATGTCTAAATTATTTCAATTTTTACTTGTCATGAAACAACGAAATATGTTGTTAGGATCAGGTAAAGTACATGATTTCATTAACACAAACATGCTGCTAACTTTAATCCAAGATGGAATAGGTATCAAACATGAAACATAAAATTCTCTTTCATACATAGTTGGAAATTACCACTATATATAACTGATGAGTCAAAAGACTTGAGGTAATAATTTAATCAAACTTAATTAATGTTGATGGCTGAACTTAATACATTCAGAATTGATAGTCAGAATCAAAAAACAAAAGAACCGTAGAAGTCATTTTGCTAGGGCTGTCACAATATATAGGCACAAGTATATAAAAATACACAATTTATCATAGATGGCCTGACAATCTATACAAAACTGTAATTTACATGTGCTCAATAGAAAAATATTCTTTAGTCTAATATTATGGGATATCTCGAAAGATCTGTTTCATTATGCTGTCTATTTTTTGCAATCTTTAATCTTTTTAATTATGCAAATTGTCTTAAATGTGATAAGGAAAGTTTTCAAATGCAGAAAAAATACTTTCAGAAAATATTCACTCTTATAAAAAAATTGACACCTAAATTATACAGTTGGTCACTGGACATCACATAGCTTGGTAATCGACCAATGATCAAAGGACTTACATCATCACTGTAGCAACTCGATCTGCTGTCTGTTCGTGAAAAAACAAGAGTTTCGTTGTTAATTTTCAAAGACACGAATTAAAAAACATTTACATGTACAAGGTAAGGGAACGTATCCGTAAAAATATTCCTGGAGGATATTGTCGCACATTGAAACAGTCAATTAAAAAGTATGTGCATTTTAACATACTACACTGTTGATAATGAAACCTCTTTTAGTCTTGTTTGAACACTTTTTATCAAAACATCCAGATTAAAAATGTTACCGAGCACATCTTGAACTGTCATTTCAAATGACCAAATTTCCAATTCAATAGTAAATTCCATAACTCCTATTAAAAAATTCACATTTAATTTTATGGAGTTTTTGCTTCTATAATTGTAGGTACAATTGTATTGTTTTCTAAAAGAATTGTTACTTATGACTCATTTTTCAGATCATATAAATCAGTTATCAAAATTGTATAAACTTTATTTATTTTACAACAAGTATGAAACAAGTTTTTCAAACTTACAGTAATCACTCTAGTTGGCCCGGATGGAAGCCTGCAGATGGTTGTTATATGGGCAGACACCACAGAAAACCTATGTGGTCGAGCAAGTGACCCAAAACCTTAACACGTTCAATCGGGGACTTGAACCTCAACATCTTGGTGGAAGGCGAGTGTACTATCCACTGCACCACTCGAGCACCAAAAATGAAATGTAATGCTTATATTGAAATTTCTCTATTTAAATCGTTCAAATTACAATCCACAAGAACTCTATATTAACATATGTAGATACCATCACATAGCATGACTAGCTTACGAGGGTTAGGTGAATGTACAAAATACAACTTTATCTTCAAAAGACAAGATAACATAAATTTCAAAATTCTATAAATTGTACTTCAGCTGAAAAATATCTTCATAAATTAAATACTGAAAAATATACATGTAAAACTATGAATATGAAGGGCTCAAGACTATTTAAAAAAAAAATCAAAAAAAATCCAATACCCTATTGACCATCATATTAAGTAACAAGATTATCCTGTTATAACGTCATAAAGACAGTACAGTCTGGAATTCCAAATCACCAATCAATTTCTAATAAATCAATTCTTTCCTATATCTCTTACCAATATTTCTGTAATAGGTTTTGCCAGGGATGTGTCACATCCCTGGTTTTGCATGGTATTTTAATAAATTTTCATATTATTAATCTTAATTTTAAATTAAATCTTACTGTCAAGACTGATTATTAAATAAAAAATACATATACATATACATATATATGATAATTTTTCATTAATTAATTAATGCTGAAAACTTTCAAGACCAGCTATTCAAATATTTCAAAATTTCTCCAGCTTCACGTATCCAATACAGCTTTACTATAAGTTCTTTTATTTTCATAGGCAAGGTTACACAGCAAAGTCTTCCCCAACACCCATCTCAAGACGGAGGCTTTTCAACATAGCATCTGCATCCGTCGTTTCTGTTGAACTGAAATTGCTGTCAGTTACATTATCTCCAGAACCATCGTCATCTATCTGTGGGATAGAAAACACAATATTGTCATTATCCTATGGAATCAAAATACAATATCAATCCATCTTCAATAAAATTCATCAGTTTGGAAATATGTAATATCAAAGTTGTACTTCAAACACAAATAATGTACGTATTGGAACGTGTCGCAATATTTCAAGACCGACTGGTCTCTTTGTCAAACTGTGACTGAGTAAGACCGACTGGTCCCTTTGTCAAGCTGTGACTGAGTAAGACCGACTGGTCACTTTGTCAAACTGTGACTGAGTAAGACCGACTGGTTCCTTTGTCAAGTTATGACTGAGTAAGACCGACTGGTCCCTTTGTCAAGCTGTGACTTAAGACCGACTGGTCACTTTGTCAAACTGTGACTGAGTAAGACTGACTGGTCTCTTTGTCAAGTTATGACTGAGTAAGACCGACTGGTC